TGTGTCCAGTTCTTGGCTCCACAGTACAAGAGGGATGTGGAGCTGATGGAGAGAGTCCAGCGCAGGGCTTCAAGGATGATCAGGGGCCTGGAACATCTGCCCTATGAGGAGAGGCTGAGGGAGCTGGGCCTGTTCAGCCTGGAGAAGAGAAGGCTGAGAGGGGATCTGATCAGTGTATATAAGTACCTCAAGGGAGGGAGGGAGGAGAATGGTGCTGGCCTCTTTTCACTGGTGGCCACTGACAGAACCAGAGGAAACGGCCGGAAACTGAAGCACCAAAAGTTCCACAGGAACTTAAGGAAAAAATTCTTAACAGTGAGGGTGACAGAGCACTGGAACAGGCTGCCCAGAGAGGTTGTGGAGTCTCCTTCTCTGGAGATCTTCAAAACTTACTTGGACGCAGTCCTGTGCCACGTGCTTTAGGTGACCCTGCGTGTGCAGGGGGGTTGGACAAGATGATCTCTAGAGGTCCCTTCCAACCTTAATGATTCTATGATCCTATGATTCTATAATACTTCATGTTCCTAATAATTCCAAGTGGTAACAAAAATGTTTCTTTAACAATTCTTGTTAAAAGACACCTCTGAAGAGTAAAATTCCATCTTCAATCTAATAGTTCCAACTTACTTAGTCAACTATTTTATTCTTTTTTCACCTTAATTCTCAACTTTGACTAGACATCTCTGATTTGCTCTTTTTTTTGTGTAGATAACTGATTTTAAATTAATGCAAAGTCATCCTAAATTGGCTAAAAACACTCCAACCAAATGAATACAACTTAAGAAAAAACAAACTTGAAAATGAGTTTACAGTGACCAGATCATTTGCATCTGGCTCAAAACAACTTGAACCAAGTTGAGAATATCAATAAAAGCTTTTGAACCAGTTTACTTGAACTCAGAATAAAGTTATACCTTTAGTTAAAATGATGTAATTCTGAAATTAGACATGGCCTCTAGTGGTATAATTACAGTAAAATTTACATCCAAGCTGTTTCAAGTTTTGCTATAAACCAGGCTTTACATTCCTTTGATTTCTGAATGTTTAAAACAACAATCCATATATTTACAAACATTTAAAACACTTAAAAATTGCATTTTTTTATGCATTTCTTCATGCATAAGGGAAGAAAAAATTAATATAAACGTCTATTTCATAGAACCTTAAACAAGGAACAACACGCATTAAATTTCCCATTGCTGAGTTTCCGGAAGAACTGTTAGGAGTCTTGTTTTACAGTCAGTTTAAAAAAAATAAATGAAAAAAGCTGCAAGGTAAAGTGTGACCGGATAAACAGAAAACAAGTTCTTCTGTTGATACAGGGCTCACTTGGATAGCGAACAAGCATAATGCTGTGGTATATCTGAGCCAAAATGCAACATCCTTAGAAACAGGCTGCAATAACTATTTAGATAAGCTATGTAATAACTTCATCTTAAAACAAAATATAAAAGCAGCAAGATATGGAAAAATGGTGTCTCCTCTCAAAGGAATAGAGAATGTTTATTGGGCATAAAGGCAACAAACTAGAACAAATATAAAATGTTGGAACAGGAAAGGGGAAAATAGGATTAGTTAGATGTTGAGCAATGAGAACAATTTGGGCGATGCCAAAGACAGAAGAAATGTGTCTTATTTCTTTAGTGCATAAAAATAGCAAGATTTCATGTAGAAATGAACATGCACTCTTAAACTACAATTTATTTCTTGTTTTAACACAATTCTGTCTCTTGCTAATCACAAAACATTATATAAACTAATTTCCATTTATGTCAAACTTTATAAGATAAGGAAAAAGTTAATCCTACAAACTCAGTGGGGGAAAAAAAAAAAACCCTTTTCCTCAGAGTCCTGAAGGGGAAAAAAGTCTTCTGTGGTCAAAAAGGGGACAGATGGATAAATTAAATTTACAGAAAGACATTTTTAAGGAATAGTGGAAACGAGTTTTAGGGTAGATGTAGTAGACATCTGAACCAATACAGCTTCAGAGTTCTTATTTCTAAATATAACTTGACTTTATTAAATATAATGTAATAAGAAATTGAAACAGTGATTGGATATTAGGAAGATGTATCTATTCTGGATTCCACAGTTCAAAATTGCTCAGAAAAAGGAAGCATGTTGGAAATAAAGGTCACATCATAAAATCACAGTCATCACTGATCTGATAAAAAACATAAAGTTTTTGTCATGTTTTGAAAAATATTCTCTACAGAAAAACAAATAATGGAAAAGAAAACTGTATTAATAATCAGCATTTTAAATGTGAATCAGATCATGAACAAGAGTGATTACTTGGATCCATCAAATATTTTGCCTACTGGGACAAGATGTTGCGGTTCCTATTTGGTCATAGGTACACCAATACTGAAAAATACTGAAAAATGGTATCAGTTCTGAGGATGTAGTATTTGGAAGTGATCTTGAAAGAGCTGGACAGAACAAGAATTAAAAACACCCTTGTCCCACTTCCCCAATCTTCCCCAGAACAAACAATCAGTGAAGCCACAGAATAACTTGAGCAGTATTGTAAAATAATCTTTGTTATTAGCCACAAGGCTTGATTTCTTAAAGAGAAGTCTTTTCACACTGTTAGCACCTCCATGTTATTAATTTTTAGAAGTTGCTGGTAACCATGAAAGTCTTGCAGATTTATCATGAATTGATAAATACCTTTTTTTTCACCCTTTTCTACCTCGTAATGAAGTGCCATCTTCATACATGTACACTTTACAAACTCCTCAATGTCTCATTGCTTTCAAAGTAAATTAAAATGTTTCTTTTTTTTTCTATTTTTAGGACTAAGTTATTTTGCTTTCTTTTCTCCTTATTCCCTTCTCTAGTTGTTTACCATGTCCATATTTTCTGCTGTTTTTCTAATCTGTTTTGTGCCAGCTAGCTTCTATTTGCACTCTGCAGTATTTCCCTCCAGTGCTTATCCCAATACAAGTAAGATCCCCAATTTCATACTACAATCAATGTGGCACAAACAATTCTTAATTTTCATAGCCCCATTATATCACCAACGGTTCTCATTGATGGTGGTGGTGAGGGAAGCGGGGGCTGAAATTTGTCTCTTAGTACAAGATAAAGTGTTTATTAACAAGCATGCTGTGAGGCAAGTCACATTATTTTTCAGAGCTAAGGGGCAGGAAAGTTCTTTCTGCGTGGTTGCGGCATGTGCCATCCCAGGTATCTTTGGACAGAAACCCCCACACATAAACACAGTGGAGATAAAGGAATAGAGATGTCCTGTGCAGGGAGAGCAAATAATGATTTAACAGTAGCTACAGATTCCAAGCTGGCCACAAGAAAATGGCTTTGCATAAGTTGCCACATTTTTTGTTTTGGTTCAGTGACGCTTTTGCTATTTGCATGCTGATGCATTTGTACATTGACAGTCATTAAATGAGGTAATTTCTTAATATTCTTAATTAAGAATTTCTAAGAAAGATAGAATTCAAACATACAAATGGAAGAGTAAGCTTTATTGAATGATGAAAAACTAGTTATGACATTACAATTAAAGTTTTATCACTGCTGGAATACTGATTTTTCTTTAGGAGAAATTGCAACAAATCAATATTCAGAATGTTAGTCAAACTAGTAGTTGTTAATTTCCCTTCAAAAACTGTATAGTTAAGCAGTTGTACAACAAATATATAAATTTTTGCAAAACCCTGAAGAAAGATTTGATATTTTTTGCTTCAAATCTGGTAGCAGAGGAGATCACCTGCACTGGTCAGATTCTGAGTTCCTTTTCCCTTTTTTCCCACTCTGAAGAGAGAATTAAAACAAGTTTTAGCTATTATACTAGACATAATGCTTTATACCTGCAGTTATTCTCCATACTAAAATACTGTGAATTACAGCTTGAATATAATTTAAACAACTTCTGAATATTTTTAATATGTTAAATTATACAAGTATATATCTATATGGGACACAGATGAATCAAATATTAATCCATACATGACAACAGGACACTGAACTACTCCCCGCACACAACCACGCAAAACCAAAGAAAAAGGCAAGTAGAAGGAATGATTTTGCATTAAAGTGTAATTAAAGAAAAAGCAACTTTTTTTTTGTAAATCCTTCTTCTGTTTTTCTGTTAATTTATCATAATCACAAAATAATTGCTTTTCTTTAAGTGAAAAATAAATATTAGCAAAAGCAGAGACAGCATGGAAAAAAGAGCAGGAAACTAAACTTGAGGCTCTGAACGATGATGTGGATGGCTGAATTTGACAGTAACAATAGATTTACTTTAGTTTTAATTAGGGTTATAAGCACTCAGCTTGTCTGTAAGAGACTGACCAAGCACATGTACTTGGGAATTGCTGCAAAACAATTTGAAGAAGGAGCTTTTGGTGAATGACAAAGAGAGGAGATTAAGTATAGAACACCATGTAGTACTGGCCCAGAAATCTGATGTAATCAGAAAAGATTTGTTGCCTCTAAAAGAATAACTATGACTTAGTCAGTTTTTGTGAAATTATATTATTTCAACACAAATGACATGTTACAACTTGATACAGGATTACTTGAGAAGACTACAGAGCAATCTGAGAAATTTCCATTATAAACTACAGACTCTCCTCGTTGACTTGATGTTTTGCATAGGTCAAAAAAATAAGAAAATGTGCCAAATAAGCCACAGAGCAGTACAAATTCTTATTCCCTGGGGAGTGTATTAATATTTAATAATTCCCTGGGGAATTATTTAAAAAAGAAGAATTTTAAAGGTATACAACCTACATGAAAGTTAACTGGAACTCAGTAACCTGAACTGCATTAGTGACCAAGCTGAACCAAACAATAAATGCACAGTCAGCAAGCCACTCATCACCCACATTTCAACATTTCAATAGTATTTGCTTTAAGTCCCCAACAAAGACTTGGTTACAAACAGAACTGAAATACAGAACCCAGGAAAGAATTTGTGGGAAAAAGAAAGACCTATAAAGTCTAATGTTAGTTTAGTAGGTGCAGAACATGAAAGCTGCAGAACATGCTGATTATTTACAGGTGTATTAAAAAGTTCTAAAGTACCAAGCAGGTAGCAAAGTTCTACTGGCCAGAACTATGCTCTAGTTTTGCTGCTGTGTTTTTTGTTTTGTTTTGTTTTTGCTGTTTT